CTCATCCAAGAAGCCTCTTCAGCTCTGACTGGATGGTGGGGAATGGAAAGATTTATATTCCTTGCAGACAGCTCGGCCCTCTATATAAGTCAAGTCTCCATGCTGACTGGGGGATTCCAGAGTTGAAGTCCATATATTTGAAAGTTGCCAAGGTTGAGAAACACTGCATTAGGGAAAAAAACCCAATTAAATTATACTATTTATCTCATATGTTCAACTATTGTGCCTTCTTAGACCTATCTGATTTCATTTGTTGATCTGGCCATTAATATTTCTTAAATTGAAAGTTGGCTTCCTTGCACTGAACAATTTATCACATAAAAAAGTTCTAAGCAAAACTTGATTAATCCCTTATTTCTTGGGTATCAATAAGATAAGAAAATGAATACATGGGGAAAGGTTTTGGTGACTCCAAGATGCTTAAATGCTTCTAAAATTGCCAGCTTTCTTTTATTTTGTGTCGAACCTGGAAGCACTTTATGGTAATTGTTGAAGATTGTTATGTTATTTTAATGATAATATGATCACTAGAAATGTGCATGCTTCAAAAATGTGAAAAAAGTAGTTTTGGACCAAGTATAATTTTCATGTCTCTGCTACAGTACAGTATTCATCATTTTTCAAACTTCAGTTGAAAGCTGAAAAACATGCTGTTTTATTTAATCATTGAAGTTATGTCATTCTTAAAGCAGCCACACCTGCTGTAAGCCTGAAAAAAGTTGAACTTTTTAAATAAATAGTTGCTGTTCTTGTGAGAGGTCCAAAGTACTAGTAATTGATTTATCACATTTTAATTTACATGGTGGTCTCAAAACAGGCAAATTCCTTGTGAGGTTTAACAAGGAAGTACTATTACTAAATCACAGCTAACAGCTAGTTAACTTTTTCAGTCTTCAAATAACTTACTTTGAAACAGACCCATTGATTTCAGCGTGATTGCCCCAGAGTGGAAGATATGAGGACAATTCCTTTCAACCATCATCCTGTTCAGTGGAACTTAAACAATAAACATGCTTGGTTTTATGTTGCAAGTTTAACATGCTTGGTTCTGTATTGTAAGTTTAACTGCTGCAGTACATACTCAAGCTGAAAAGCATTTTATCCAGTGACTTAGAAACTCTGACTTGCTTTATATGGTATAGAATATAATTTAAAAGGCTTGGGATTAAAAACCTGGTTGATACCATCCATTCTGCCACTTCTACAAGTATATGGGTTGTTCTCAGGTAAACTGTTAAATCAGGCTTAATTTTGTCTGGAGAATTAGTCATATCCTAGTCATATCTCTAGCCACACTGCACCATATTGCCTCTTTCAAGGCTTCTAACAGAGGCTGCTTTGTATGGGAAAACCACAATGCACTTCTTTACTGAGAAATCATAATGGCAGTTCTGTGAGTCTGATTCCACAAAATAAGACAATACATAAGAATAGCTACGTTAAATTTTCTAAATTATGGATGTAATCCTCTAGATACCTTCTTATTTTTATAGAGGCTGTAATCTTTACATTTTTATAAATGCTTTTAAGCATATTTTATTAATATAAATTTATTTTGTTTTCAGAGTATTTAGATTGATTTCCTGAAGCATCTTCCAAGATGCACAATGGTGCTTATGGGCCAGAGTAAAGTTGTTTTTAGTGAAGAGTATTATGGTAGATTATATTGTTGCTTGATTATTCTGTGATTTATTTTAATAACAAGTTTGCCTAGAATTGTGGCTGTTCTAGAAATCCCTGAGTTTGAATGGCATATTTTTGTTTCTTTATAGAATTGTGGAAAAAGGATATTACAGCGAGCGAGATGCTGCTGATGCAGTGAAACAAATTCTGGAGGCAGTTGCTGTAAGTTTTACTAGCTTCACAGCCTCGGATTAATATTTCATTAATCTCAAAATAATGTTTTAATCAGTGTAGACCACTAAATGAAAGAAAAACTTCTTGATAACAGTCCAAATTCCTATATATTTATCAATCTCAATCAGTGATCAAAAGAACATGAGAGGAGGAAGACCATGGAAAAGCACACTTAACTCTACACTTCTTTTACCTCCTTACTAACATTTCTCCTCATACTGAAGACAAACATCTAAAATATGGAATCAATTCTTGACATAGAATGACTTTTCTTAAGCTGGGAACCTTCCAATGCTCAGAATCCCAGCAGTTGAATGATGCCTGGTTTCTGGAAGGCTGACCTAGAGGTTCTCTGTGTTGAGGTAGCCCAGTAATGTTCCTGGCAGCACCATCTAACTTCTCTGGCTACACTATCTTTATTTAAAATAAATGCACGCAAAATAAAAGCCCTGTGGAAAAGTCTATGAGTACATCAAACAAAATGCAAGGTACTAAAATACATGTACTACCAGTACCAGACCCTGGAAGATAATGGTAACCATGGAGAAAAGGTCACATGTGCCAAAATCACCCATGACGCTGCATTTTGCATCAGCTGAAGTTTCTAAATGCTTTTCAAGGACAACTACACGCATAGCACATTGCAGTAATATAATTGGGAAGTGAGGACATGAGTGACAGAGCAAGCTCTCACAGTCTAGGAATGAGCACAATTGGTACACAATACATAGCGTAGAGGCCCTCCTTGCTATAGCTGCCACCTGCTCTTTGATATACTTTTCATCATTACTAGTCCCATTTTTTTGTTACCGTGGTAATAAGTGATCTTCCATTTATAGTTGCAAATGGTGTTGCAGATGTGGTTGTAATTCATTTCAATTATTCTCATAAAGCAGTCTGTGACCTTTGAAAGATGCCTAATTCATCACACTTTCCAGTTTCTGGTTTTCCAGGTTCAGGAACAGGCAAGACAGGGAACAAAATATGCCATTAGAATCCTCTCTCACATCAAAGCTTTGATATCAATAAAGACAATAAGGGAGCAGATTAGAAGAGGCTTGGAGTCTATGAACTTATCTGGTCCCTAGAATTAACGACATAGCATCCATGTAACCGTAATGACTTAAGGAAAATGAAGGAGAAGTGGGAAGAGAGGGCTGAAGCAAAATGCCAGTATGAGTTTAGGATCATTTTAATAAGATTATTTCTGTTTCAGTTTTCAGTATTTGGATTATTTTATAAATGCATAATATTTGCATCATTTGTGAATTGTAATTGATCAGTGTCATTCTACTTACAGTGTGATTAAAGAATACTCTCTCACTGTTTTCCCCTGCTGTTTGTAGTCTCTGTCTGCTCTGGTGAGAAACATTACAGGGATTGAAGAAGTGAGGAAAATTGCTAAAAGACTCTTCTATGTTTATATCAATAGAAAAATCCATTAGATCACATATTCCAACAGATGGGGTAATATAAATGGAACCTAACTCAATTAATTTTATAGAAAGTAATTCACTAAACTGAACAATAGATGCCTATTTTAAATACAAAAACCCTATATAAATATTTAGAATAAATGGAATAGTTACCTCTTATCCTGCCGTGGAATGTTTCCAACATAAATTTTATTCTTGATTATTTTTGTCCACTGGTTTTGACTTTCCAAATATAACAAAGATTCTAACACTCTGTCAGAAACTAGTAATTCCATTATTCCTACCCTGGCATTGCTAGCAGTGAAAGTTGCTGGGATATTTCATTCAGTGACATTTGAAGGACCATATGTTCCTCAACTGTGTGTTCTTTGTAATGGGGATTTAATTATTTAATTTCAGTCATAGGTAACATACTGTTCAAACTGAGGCAGTCAATATGCTGGTAGTCTAATCTGCTTTTTTGAAATCCAGTTTTAGTAGTTATCCATTGGGAGTTTAGTTTCTTTCAGATAAATGAACATTCTCTTGACAAATGTATTGTTTATATAGCCACCATTCTTGAACGGACCAGGATTTTATGTTTACTACAGGTATGCAAGCCTGAATCTCCTGATCCATTTACTCTGCATCCTGCTTCTAATGGTACTATGCCAGCCCCACTGTGATCTATTGTCACATATGAGCAGGCATCAATAAGTTAATAAATTAATTTCCTTTGCAGCCCTGCAAATATTATAGCTTCCTTAGGAAGTCTTTCACCCGTGAAAGTGAAGGATTATAGTTCTGAAGGTCTTCCAGTTTAATACACTTGATTTTGTAAAATCTATAAAAAAAGAAAGGTTTTGTATTTTCACAATGAGATATTCAGTTCAAATCTAATATTAATGACTATACCAGGGGTAGGTAACCTTGGCTCTTTTATGACTAGCATAGCTGGCTCAGGAATTCTGGGAGTTGAAGTCCCAAGTCATAAAAGAGCCAAAGTTGCCTACCCCTGGACTATACCTTTTACAATTGTTCTTGTATTTTACTTCTTTTATTTGAGTAATTTAGAGCTATTGTATATAGACTGAATTAAAGCTTGCTAACCACATAAAAATTCTGATTTTTAAAGAATACTAAAGCTGTTACTATAGTAAGTTTTACATGCAATTCAATGTTACATCATAAGCTTTATAAATTTCCAAGCTTGTGTAATAATGCACAAAAATTTAAAAATTGACAGGGAATTACAACACTTCATATATGGGTATATGTAAATCATTAATGGAATCTAACAGCTCCATTCTACTTGAGAATTGATATTATCAAAACTGCCATACTATGCTAAAATATATGGTTAAATTTTTGGCACTGAATTTCATTAGCTTAGCATTCAGACAAACAGACATCAGTAGACACATAGAGATAAACTATATTTTCACATCATTCAAAAGAAACAATAAAAAAGAAGGAAACTAAAAGGACACTTCCTCTTTATCAGCCAATAGCCCAATTAGCCAGGATTACCACGAGACAAACGATCAGGCAGAAAACAATACTCTAATTTATTTATTTATTAAATTTATAAACCACCCATCTCATTGATGACATGAGTCTGGGCAGCTTACATGAGAACCAAAATCAAGGGGATGGATGGGGGTGAGATCTTACCCTGTCAACCACCCACAACAAAGAGTGTATCCATTGGTGGCTCCAAGCTGGCAAACCAAGTTTTAAAGTGGGGGCAGGTCTCATCTCACATAGCAGAATGTCCCACACAGTGGGGGGCACAGTAGACAAGGCTCTTCTCAACCTTGCCAGCCAAAATTCCTTTATAGACAGGGCCCACAGCAAGCCCCTTCTGCTGGAATGAGTAGGGTAGTCTCATCTCATTGGGGTAAAATGGCTCCTCAGATACCCTGAACCCATGCCTTAAAGGGCTTTAAAAGTGATGACCAACACCTTGAATTGGACCTGGAAACAAACTGTTAACCAATGCAGCTCAGCAACAATGATATTCTATGTGCCACTCTACAGGCCTCCAGAATTGACTGTGCCGCTGCATTCTGTACCAACTACAGCTTCTGAATACTCTTTAAGGATAGCCCCATATAGAGTACATTGCAGTAATTCTCTGTTGCAGTGGGATATGTGTGTGTCTCTGTTCTCTCTGTCTAAGGTTACAGGTAGTCTTACAAATACAATTTACTTACAAATACAATTGGGACCAGAACTTCTATTGCTAAGTGAGGTGGTCATTAAATGAATCACACCTGATGTTATGACCTTTTTTGGTACGGTCAATAAACAAATCTCCACGATTGTTAAGTGAATTGCCGAGTAGTTGAGCGAATCCAGCTTTTCCCATTGGCTTTGCTTGTTGGAAACCGTCCTGGAAGGTAACAAATGGTGATCATGTGACCCTGGGTTGCTGCAACCACTACAAATACATGCCAGTTGCCAAGTGCCTGCACTTTGAACATGTGGCTGCAGAGACACTGCAGTAGTTGTAAGTGTGAGGGCTGTTTATAAGTCACTTTTTTCAACGATGTTGTATAACTTCAAATGATTGCTAAACAAATGGTCATAAATTGAGGACTACCTTAAAAGGTAATTAGACTGATATTATTTGTTCTTGAAATAACAAAATCATAAGTAATTCAGATTCAAAAACCATATTGCTTTTAATCAGTCTGATTTCAATTATAGCATATTCTCTATATACTGTATGGTGAACCCTTAACATGATTTACTGTGAAATCATTTCTCACCATTAGCGGTCCTCAACTTGCTACTGTATTTTACTAACATTCTTCTTCATTAAAATAAGATATCAGCATTAAAATATCATTTTTAACTTTAGTTCCCCAAAAACTAGATTCTGCCTCTAGGCTGCTATTACTATAATTCATTATGCTCTTCAGGATTCCCTAATGCAACCCTTTATGCAAATTTAAAATCATTTAAAATAATGGGTGCTACTTTAAAGTATAATAACTAAAATCATATTTAAATAGAGACAGATTTGTGTGTTGGAAAATTAGGATTCCTCCACTGTTCCATTTACAAGAGTTTAAAACAATGTTTGTAATAATTATGAGCCCTCCTTTATGCTTTTATTGTTTTATCTTTTGGTGCTGCAATTGCTCATTTATACAGGTAGTCCTTGACTTATGACCATTCATTTAGCAATCATTCAAAGTTATGAATGGCACTGAAAATATGATTTATGCCTAGTCCTCACACTTATGACCATCACAGCATGCCCATGTCATGTGATCCACATTCAGGTGCTTTGCAATTGGCATGTATTTACAACAGTTGCAGTATCCTGGGGTCATGTGATCACCACCTGCAACCTTCCCAGTTATTTTCCGACAAGCAAAGTCAATGGGGAAAGCTGGATTCGCTTAACCACTGCAGTAAAAAAGATCGTGAAATTGATGCAACTCACTTAACAACTAAGTAATGGAAGTGCAGTCCCAATTGTGGTCATAAGTTGAGGACAACTCATGCTAAAAATGAAACAATGGTGAAAGTATTGGGTGACCCAGGAGGGTGACTCAGATTTAAATTTATATTTTATAATGGAGTTCATTGAGTGACTTTGGGTCAATTTCTTTTTTTAGCCTAACTCACAAGCCTGAGACCACAGATTTAAAATTAAAAGAAGCTTCTGTCTAAGCCTATCAGAAAAAAAGTTGGACATAAAGACAATAAATAAATACTCTTTTAGAATATACTTCTTTGATAACCATATGGAGCAAGAGTGGAACATAAATATTTTAATTAAATACATGCTTTTCAGTGTCGCAAAAGAAACTCATCCAGTTTTACTACACTTCATCCTTTTTTAAAAACAATTTCAGTAGATTTGTGCATTTGCTACATTATAAAATGGAAAAGATGCTTTGTGAACTGATTTTTTTTAAACCTTACCTTGCTAACAAATAATAGTAAATTATTAACCTTGTATGTCACCTGGCTCTCAGCCATTCTGGGTGGCTAAAAGAGTGGTAAATCTGATAATTGTATCTATATTAGTAGAGTAACTTTATTTAAAAATCGTGTAAATTTCACTTATTCTTTTGAATATGCTGTTAAAACCAGATTATTTATTTATTACAAGCACTGTTGTGCTGCTTCTCACTGTTGAAAAAGATATAACGCAAGAAAACAGCAGGAAGTAATAGAAATGATTATATTTCTCATCCCTGAGAACTGAGCCTGAAACCATAATGTTGTACTAGGAAACATTAAAAGAAAAGGTGAAATAATCATAGAAAGCATTATCTAAAATAGCCTCCTGTGAAGTGAAGAGAAAAAGAAAAGCTTTGTATCTGTGGGGCTAAAGAAATGACAGATAGTAATTTCCTCTGGGCACATCAGACATGATTCATGAAAGGAATTCATTTGCCCAGAAGAAATGCAGATGCATGTCAGTGGCAAAAAAGTAGAGGTTATAGCTATAGATAAGAGAAAGACATGGAGTGGTACCACTGGATATTAGAAGAAAAAGTGCAAAGTCAAGAACAGTGTTATGCTGTGGATTAGAATGAGGGCAAAGGAGGAAAATTTTCAACAGCAGGAAAAGAAACCAGTCTGGAAAAACATAACTACCAGGCATATAAACTGAAAGAGACGTAAAAAGAAAAAAAGAGTATATGAATAGAAGTAGTGCTTGAAGTGGGTGGACTGGCACATTCCCACTTATTTTCAGGAAATCATAATTCATTTTAGCCATCCCACTTCTTTCTTGTTCTACTTTGAAATTCAAGAATTTTAGCTCTATTCTTGGTCACCCCAACCAAAAACAGATGCCTGGTTAAATTGGCACTGGAGAAAAAAATGATATCACGGGTGGACAATACATCTTGTCAGCCTGTCAGGTCTCAACTGTTGCTAATAGGAAAGAGAATAATGAGACAATTCCTGGAACAGAGGCAATGTGGATTCAAGTAGAGCAAAGAAGCACCAGATTAGAGAGAAATGAAGGAGGAATGATAAAGAAAAGACAGAGGATGGAGTATAAGTGAGTTTCTGTACAGAGAGAAAAAAGAAGAATGAAGGAAGGAAGGAGAGAAGACGAGCAGAAAAAGAGAGAAGGAACTAGTGGAAAGAAGAAAAGTGAAGAA